AAAACTACTTAAAAATTTTAGCAGGCAAATTTGCCTGCTAAAATGGACGGTTTAAGGGATACTAGGCTACATAAATTATATAATATTGTATAGAATAAAATCTAATCTAACACTATATATAATAAAAAAAGTGGAAAAAAAATAAAAGAAAACATTTAGTGTTAAGAAATTTTTACATGTGATTACTCCAACTTCTAATACACTATCATTGTTTATTTGGCAAAGCATAATCCAAATAAGCTTGTGGGAGATTCTATTTCAGTAGATGTGTCCTAATTTGGAAGGAGTAAACACTACTGATCTTTTGAAGGGGGTATGCTAGTTTTTTTCACTTTTTGGCCAAAATTTCTAAAAAATTTCAAAATAGCGAAAATATTATGAAAGGTTTTCAGTTGCAGGTACTTTCAAAACTTCTAAGAAGTGTATTAAAATCCAAAAGCTCTGTTGTTTCTCCTGTGTTTTTCTTCAAAGTAATAGCCTTGAAGCTTCATCAACAAAATAGAAGCCTACTTTGAGACTTTCTCTCTTCATCAAGATTTTTCATACACCAAACCCAATTTTGCTTATATAAGAACACCCTGAACACTAATTTAACTATAGCTAAAGTGACTCTAACCCTAATTGAATTCAATAAGAGTCTACTCTGCTTTATGTATCGAATACTATACACTATGTAATCAACTATATAAATCTCTAAACACTCAATAAACACAAAAATAGCCCGAACATTTTCTCAAGTTGGCGTGTCATATATGTCACTAACATCTAATCTTATACTTACAAAGATTTAGTCACCACTCTGTTTTCGCTATCAATCTATTTTTTAATAACCAAATATAAAGCATGGTACCATAAGGTAATGTAGTAATACTGAATACAAAAGATTCTACTGCGTCTAAATCCAAGGAATTGCATGAATAAATATAACATTATTAATGTAAATGGGTAACAATCTAGATTCGAAACCTGTTTAAAGGCTGGCTATAGTGATCATCATTATTGTTTGTTTATTTTCCATACATCTGTATGTGTAATTTTTTATTTTTGTTGCATTGTTTCTTAAACAAGGAGACCAACTGCAGTTATTAAATTAGTAAAGTCATATAGTGAAAGTACGTAGTATAGTTAGTATGTTCTCAAAGCGCTTTTGAATTAATTTTGAACTTATTGTTGTTAAATTAACTCGCCTTAATACTCTTCGTTATACCTGAAATACATTTTATCCAAGTTATTTGCTCGATCAAATTAATTCAGTATATCATGTGGACAAGCTTCTTAATGATCGATATAAGGATAATTATAGCTCAATTGGAAGTGATTCGCCCATTTAATAATAGCTTTAGAATTAGAATATACTTATCTAGCAGACTCAAATTAGCTATTTGATTAGAAATTCACGGGTTCAAGTGTATAAATTTAATTCAAGCAAATAACATGTATACATTAACTATATTTCATATGATAATTACATTTTTATCTATATTGAACAGGTTCTAACATTATGCCCATAATCCCCACAATTGGCACATTTGTTCTCGTTGCTCATTATTATCCACTTTTTTAATCTACCGACTAATAAATCATCTTTATACGTATTCGCCCACTAAATTAAGGTGAACGACAGCATACGATATTCATACGGCATACAACACATATATAACATATACGACATACGGCATTTATACGGCATGCGGCACTTCTACTTATACGCCGTATCTCCGTGATCCAAAATTCTAAATGTGCACCTCTACTCAAAACTTACTTTATAACGGTTCTTTTAAGTTTTATTTTGATCTTTATAAGCCTTTTTAAACTTCTAATTCAGATAGTCTAGCTGAACTTTTATTTAACTGTTAATTTTATACTATCGCTAGCGCTATTCACATGACAATTTTGATTTCGAAACTAATACAAGAAAGAAAATCAGTATAATTTATATGGCAGGGTGAAACCCTAAGTGCAACTCGTTGGGATCAAATTTTTAATAGCATGTATTTAGAGAGGTATTGCATTTAGGGAGGTTACATTCAGGGAGGCTACATTCAGGGAGGTTGACTGTATAAATTTATTTCCAAAATTTTCGCGTCCAATCTCAAAAGTTAAACTCGGAAAATTTTATAAAATTTGAAATTTCTATAAATACATTTTTAAATTGGTATATGCATATTTCCATGGACCTGTTACGTAGCCAAATTAATTTTGTATGTTATATAAAAGATTAACTTTATTTTATGTACGTACGAAAAAAAAATAGGTGAAATATAATCCATATAATCCATGGAGATAAGGATATATCCTGAAACTAGGTATGAATGCCCTTACCGTTACATCTAACGTCCACGAAATGGCAATAACGTATACCGCTGTATATCGCTAGATTTAGCATGTAGGGGGTACTATCTGAATGTTAATTTCAAGGGATTGGTAAGCCACAAATATATGAGTGTTGCCAAGCGAAAACCAGGAATTGTGAGTTTTCCGAAATTAATTTTACAGATCAAACCCCGAAAAATGTGATTTAACAAACACACCATATAATTTATGTTGTGCTTAATTTAAATTTATCAGGAATCGGATCAGAAAGCGGAGCAGGCAAAAATAGAAATTGCAGGTTTTCGCTTGGCAGCGCTCATATAGAAATGTAAAAGAATTTAATTTGTTATCAGTTACGAATTTGGTAAATCATTTGAAAAAAATAAGCACTTTCTATTTTTAAAGTTTTTATGTTTAGATCTGGCGTAAATTTCGGGATCGCTGGAGTTTTTTGACTTGATATGCATAAACTCGGAGTCAAAAAAAATTTTACAGGATTTATTCTTGCTTGTCATCCCTTCTTTCCATGATCGGATTTTTTTTTTAATTTTGTCGTTTTATACAGCATTGGCTCGGGACCAGGGCTAATTAGAACCAAAACCAGATTTTCATATTTTACTTGTATTTAATAGGATATACTTTGTGCATAAGCCGGTTATAGTTAAATTTGAATCATTCGACATTCTTTTAATATTCGTGAATTTTAGCGGGAACATCTGATCTTAAGATATTGAAGTAAATTGCAAATGGCAATCCATAGAGTGGAACATATGTCGTAATTGAAAAATAAAAGGATTTATGAATTTCCATTAACGTTAAAAAGCAGTTCATAGTAATTAATTTAATTAAACAGTATGTCAGTGTAACTACATGAACAGCACGATCATATGAACTCTGCATACAGTGTATTAAACGCACTATGTAGATTATGTACTTTTAAGGAATAATATTTATTAAAGCATTTACGAAATTCGCAGTGATATTTTTGATCTGCTCAATAAAGCTATTATTAGATATACATTTTAAGTATCTTCTATGGTGCATACAAGATGCGAATTGTGTTTGTATTTCCAAGACCTAGAGCCAGTATGAATACAGTTAAAAATCATACGTAATAAAATTGTATAAGTTTGATCTGAATACACACCGTATTTCCAGCCTTGGAGGGCGATAACCGTATCACCACTTTTAAGTATTCTAAATATCATTTAAGAATATGATTACGTTAAAAAAATGTGTTAATCAAAAATAACATTCTAGAAAGGAACTACTTACTTAAGTGAAACAGCGTGATTCATCCCCCATCGAATTCTATCTTCAACATCTTCTTGCCAGCGTAATTCATCTTCAACTTTATCTCTAGGCTTATCATATATGAAGGGATAGCAACCTCGGTAAAGATGAATTTGTCTCGCAGTTTGCGCATTTCTCGTAACAGTAACAATGGGGCAAAGGGGCTTGTATTTAGAAATTAAACGTGCAGAAGTTCCTGACGTGGATAAAACAAGGATGCAACCTGCGTGTGTCTCATTTGCGGCGTTAACTGCAGAACAAGCAACAGCTTCAATGGTGTCCATTGGCAATTGAGTGAGAGCACGCAGCTCATTGAAGAGAGGAGGATAGCAAATAACCGATTCAGCAATGATACACGTTTCGTGCATCATTTTTACTGAAAAGAATAAGATATTATAAATATATAGACATTTTTATTTAGCTGTTAGTAATGGTTGGATCCGGTTTAAAAGAAATCCGGATATATCCGATTATTATTTATAGATTACAAATAAATATGAACCGGTTATAATCCGGATAATAACCGATTAGTAAAGTTTTTAATTGGTATAATATCAGATATCCTGTTTAAGTATTTGGATCCAAACATTATCTGATTATATAAAATAAAAAATTTACCGGCTTCGATAGGATAAGATCCTTTTGCAGTTTCTCCAGACAACATAACACAATCTGCGCCATCCAAGACAGCATTCGCAACATCACTAACTTCAGCACGTGTTGGTCTTGGGTTGTACTATATAATTTCATCATAATTTCCTTCTAAGAAATCGAAATATTTTTATAAACAATATATAATCAAAAAAAACTTACTGTCATAGATTCCAACATTTGTGTTGCGCTAATTAAAAAGAATTAAAATAGCTTAATCACATAAATAATCAACATAAGGATGATTAGACATAATGCATACCATACTACCGGTTTGCCAACAAGATTACATTTAGCAATAATCATTTTCTGCGCAACAAACACTTGAGGGGCAGGAATCTCGATACCAAGATCACCACGAGCTACCATAACACCATCAGTTTCCTTTAAAATTTCGTCAAAATTATTGACACCTTGTTGATTTTCGATCTTGGCAATAATTTTGATTGATTTTCCTTTTTCACCAAGAATTTCTCGGATATCCTTGATATCTTGTCCTGATCGAATAAAAGAAGCAAAAACCATATCTACATCATTTTCTACACCAAATAACAAATCTTTTTTATCTTTTTCAGATACAGCAGGTAGATCTACGTTTGTATTAGGTAAGTTCACCCCCTTTTTGCTACAAAGCCTCCCATTGTTGATAGCACGAACTTTAACACAATCTTCATGAATTTCCAATACTTCAAACGAAAGAACACCATCATCCACATATATAGTTTTTCCTACTTCAATGACTTTAGGCAGGTTCTTGTAATCGATGTACATCACATTCAAATCACAAGCCTCAGCATATTTTTCATCTGTGCTGAAGATCATTTCATGACCAGCGCTGATTGGAAGCTATCAATATAAGAGAGTTAAAAAATAAATAAATAAATAATCGTAGCGTTATATAAAGGAATATAATCCCATACCTCGACATTATCACGCATGAGACCTGTTCGGATTTCGGGCCCTTTCTGTAACATTAATATCATTAGTTACGAATGGTTAATCTGATGCAGATAGACTTTATGGATTATTTAAAAGTTCAAACGAAAAACTACCGTGTCAAGAGCAATCGCAACAGGTCGACCAGGATATACTATTTAACAAATCGTCCTGAATTAGTATATCGTGTAAGAAAGATAAATAGAGAAAGGATAGTAACTTACATCGAGCATTTTCACGCGTGTTATCAATGACAGATTTATGGTACTAAATTTATGATTTATTAGTATATTAAGAAGACAGGTGAATTATTTAATGGAGAAAATTTAGAGATCACCAACCTCATAAGAACCATGGGAGAAGTTCATTCGAACAATATTCATTCCTGCCTTGCGCAAAGCACTGATCATTTCTAAACTATTAGATTTAGGACCTTCAAATAAAAATAATATCGAATAAGTTTTCATTATGCGATGAAATTCTTTTATTCAAATGAATTTTTGAATTTACCAATAGTACAAATGATAGACGTTTTTCTCATGTTGGTTGGTTTATCCACTTTCAAAGAAGATATCCATTCCAGTTGGGACGTGACGTTGTAAGACGACATAAAAAAGTATAAGCAAGCTAACTAAGGTAAAAAAAAAAAAAAAAAAAAAAAAGAAAAGAGAAAGACAGATATAGGACAGATATAGAAATAAGTAACTAATGACTCTTAAAAATTTAAGATGCGAAGATACGATATATATACATTTCGATTGTTTGTTCACAAGATAATACACGTGTATGTAAATCACTAACAAAAGATGAACGTTGAACGTTATCTCGGTGTTCTTATGTAAAGATTATCAAATATTTACATTTATCAAGATCATGCTAACTGTAAAATCATAACAATCCATAACCGATAACAGTAGGACAAAAATATCTAATAACGATAACGATAATGATTAAGTGAAACAATTTTGGTAGCAAATACCGATAATGCCGATACATTTTAAACAAGATTTCTTTATATACATTGAAATTTTACTATTTCATATTACAAAACAAAGCAAATCTTCACAAAACTAAATTCATTTCTATATCTATTGCAACCAATGACCAAATTCAATAAATTTCGCACGAGGATTCAGAGGAAGGGGATTTCCTTTTTCAGTAGGACGAAATGCTAAAGCAAGAATTGCTAAAATGAAAGGAAATGCCATTGCTTCGAGGATTAATGGCAACCACATGTGGTCAAAGAATAAAATGGAAAGAACCCAAAAAGTGGATATTGCCAAAAAGATCCAAGAAAGAATAACGGATGCCTTATGTAATGTAAAGAGATTAGTAAATTAGATGAGTAAATAGATGAAATGAATTAAACAGATGAAAATACCGCAGTCGCGCCATAACCCGATTGAGTCAACTAGAAAGAAGAATTACGTATGAGAAAGAATATTTTTAATAGAATATTTGGCACACAAGATCATGAGACTTACAATAGTCGCGATAATAAGCATCAACAAAGAATCCCTTGCAGCATTTGTTGCTTTTGCATAGCGATTATCCTTTAACAAAATCACGTGTAAATTATTGTAATATTATCAACTAGTTATTAGTGAGATTACCATTTGATCCGCAGTCGCAAAATCGGGAGGTGCGATGCCAGTTTCAAATCTTATATTAGGGGATGGAAGGACGTGCCTTCTACGAATAAATTCGGAAAATAACAATAATGTCGCCCAAATGACCAACTGCACGAAAACCGCAACGTAAGTTCCTAATATCATTTATAGAAAAGCAGAAGAAATCCTTGTAACTTGAGAAATACAGTATATTTTATTTGAAAAGAATAATACTTGTATTGATTTTTAGTAAAAACTTGCCTTCAAGATATTTATTTTCATAACTAACTTTATCTGTAAATGTTCCCATTTTATTTGATTTTTATATGATCTTTATAATGATTTATTCAAAATTATTGTAAAAAGTGAACTTGTTCCTTTGACAAGAAAAGCCAAATCGGTTTCCCTTATATAATGTTAAAAATCATATGATTATTAGTGTTAAAGAAAGATCTCATAATTTATAATGACAATCTTGTTATGTGATCATGACGTTTATTTTTCTTTAAAGATGACTGAGTTAGATAAGTTAATGAGTTAATGTAACTCGGTCCATGAAGGAATGAAGTAATTCTATCATGTGATAAAAATTGCCTGTGTACATATTTTATATGTATATAATGTTAAACTTTATTATTGGTTAAAAGAAGTTTAGTAACCTTTTATAAGTGTAGATATATTGTTAGAAATTTCATCTAATATATATGATTATGAAAATATGTTCATTGTATTTGGTCTTGACTACACTTATATTACGAAATACATATTACGGTGTATTATCATAGTGTATTACGAAGATATTATTACGACTATCTATTAAAAATAGCTGCAACTAAAATAGCGAGGAAAAGAGCAAAATAAAGATTTGGTTTGAATTGAATAAGAGACGGTGCAACAGATATAGGGTTAGGTGTTGATGGTGATTTATTGGTTGAAGTTGCGCTTGCGCTTGCACTTGCACTTGCGCTTACGCCTGCCGGTGTAGCAGATCCAATACCGGTTTGCGTGGGAGGTGCTCCGGAACTTGTTCCATAGACAGTAGGTTGATTATAGTGTGAATTAATACATCCGCTTACGCATGATTGATAACCTGCATTGGTGGTATCTAAAAATAATGGACGGATTCATCAGAAATTAGAAATAAAAAAGAAATAAATTTATGATAATTTTATTTACTTGGACAACTAGCTATACAGTCATTAGTCGCGTTAACATCTTGCGGTGAAGGATTAGGAACTCCTGCGCACCAGGCAACACAATTAATATCACTGTAGGAACAACCTTGATTTTGAAGACATTGTGATATTTTATCTTTAAATATGATGTTTTATTAGCAACTTATTAATACGAAAATAGTAAAAATATTAAAAATATTCAATGTATTCACTAACCAGGTGCGGAAGTGGAAGTAGCAGGACTCGCTGCGGTGGCAGGATTCGCTGCGGTCTCACTTTGTGCTCTCACTAGTGTCGAAAAGAAAATAAATGAAATAAATATGATAGAAAAAGTTTTCATTTTTATTTCCTTGAGAATATATGCGCGAGCTCGTAAAAAAAATATAATTGAGAGAATTTATATAAATTTATAGTAAAATTTACAGTAAAAAAAAATTTTATATAATAAAAATTTATAGTAATTTATATAGTAGAAAAAAAAACGCTGTGTTCACTAAAAAAACTCTCATGATAAAAGTTGTTTGTTCTTACATAAGATGATCTTTTTATACGAAAATAGATGTTACTATTTTTTATTTTAAGTATTTTAAGCAACTTTGTTACTTGCATACCGATACTATTTATATTTACTAATTTTTTTATGGTTTTGAAATAAAAAAATAAAAATATTTATCAAACCCGAATTACCGAATCACACTATGTGTATGTAAATAAGGTTAATTACGTATGTACCTGCTATGTATTATCCCTAATTGACTATCATATATGTATATGTATTCGATGAATTCGATACATACCTATTGTAAATTACTGCACGAAAAAATCTTGCCTTTTGTGCTTTGAAAAGCAATATATTGTAATTTAAATACTTGAAACAGTAATCATAATTTCCATTAATGATTCAAATTATGCACCAATAAAAAATAGCCATATTTTTAGTAGTTTAGGCTAAGATTCGGATCATATGCTTGCCGTTGCGCAATCAGGCGTTACTGAAACGAAATGATCAATAAATCTAGTGTACTGAATCCACCATGACCCATGACACTTAAAAGATGGGCGTTACACGGTATACGATTCGTTGTCAAAAAAATCGCATATTCACACAATGTTAATTTTCTAACTATACTTTTGACCCTCTAATTAGCGTTTTACTCATTAAAGGTCTTAAAGATACTAACGTCGCACATTACTTTTTGACTTTTCATGAACGAATAACCAGCCAATTTTCCAATCGTCAATCTAAAGCTTGGCATATTTCCACTAAATTATTTCGAGATAATCGAGATAAAAGTGCAATTCCAAAATTCATTAATTCCTTAGTATTTAGTAACGATGTCAATAAAGTTTATTGTCTTGCTAACGATGTGATGATTGAAGCTGAACATGAATTGGAAACTATCTTATCAAAATTGAAAAATTTATGGGCTCTTAAACAGGACGTAAAATTTGAGGTTTGTTTGTCTTATAAAAACTTCCTTGCAATTTCTATTCACGAACTTACCTTTGTACCTATTTAAAAAGGGTTATTCTTACAATATTGGTGACTTTATAATTCGAACCGTTGATGCTAGACAGAAAGGGATGCTTGTTGAAGTAATTATCTTGCAATAATTGCTTAAATTTTTGGTTTAATTATTGCATTAAAAAAATGTTAATAATATTCTTTACTAGGTCGAATACCTTCCCACAACACATCCTCATTCCGCTTCCTCAATTCTAACCAATTTTATTGATTTAATCATGCCTAAGGATGCAGATATTGTACAATGGGACCAAAAAGGTGATAATTCCTATACGAAAGTTGGCTTATCTGAAGAAACATTTACAAGAATCCACGCTGCATATCAATATATGTCGCTTTTTAAATCAGAAAGCTTGTTATGAATTACCACGTATATCTTGTTATGTATGTCTTTTTATTAATTTCTTTTTTTTTATTAACCTTACAAAATAATAAATATTTCGTTCAACTTTTATGAACTTTACCAATTAACCCATAATGGTCTGAAATGTTCTGTTGTACTTTTAAAACCTGCAAATTGATTTACACAATCACTTTCCGCTCTCTTTTGTAGTGCTTCAGGCAACCATTCGTTAATTTTTTTTATCCTTGCCTCATGATTTGGATGCGTGCTTAAAAATTGTGGTGGTGCTACTTTTTCAGCTTTACTCATTCTTTTCCACATATTTATTGCTTCTTCCGGATTATAACATGCTTGCGCCATTAGAAGGAGGCCAATGTAGTCTGCCTCACTTTCACATTTACGCGAAAATGGCATCCTGAATAGATTGTTAGGGTTAACTTGTTTAAACTATGTTTCGTTATTATTGATCTTGTTATAAAATAACTTACATTATGCCAAGTTCTATAAAAATATTGCCAAGAAGACCGGGATCAATGAAAAAGCTAAGAAAAAGTTGTAATATAATTATAATTTTGGCAAAAGAAAGTTTTTCAGCGCTATGACGAGCGACTTGATGTGCGATCTTCGTGATACATTTTCTTTGATTAATAATATTTTATATAATAATCATAAGATTTTGTTTCAATTTTAAAACTGACCTCATGTCCAAGAACTGCTGCCAAACCATGTTGATTTTCAACAATCGGTAATATCCCTGTAAAAACAAAGATTTTGCCGCCAGGTAACACAAACGCATTTTTTTCCGGGGAATCAATAACATGAACTTCCCATTTCAAATCTTAAAAAAAAATATATTTTTAGAATTTATATTTTTGATTATATTATTATTGAAGTTTTATAAACAAACCTTCCATTCCACTAACTCTTATAATTTGTTGAGCAACACTTCTGACAAATCGCGTACGATGATCCCAACTTGGCAAAATCTTATGGCGATACCGCTTCATTATTTCAGAGTATGCTTGTTGTGCTAATCTTGCTTCTTGCTTAGGGGTTACGTCTATAAATCGTCGCCGATTACTTATTGGCACGACTTCTAAATGGTTTACATAATATGACGCAAAAAGAAGCCCTCCTCCACCAGTATACATCCAAAATGTTCGCTTTTTATAGAAGGGTTGGGCCCTTTTAAACCGTTTACCTTGCGGATACGGTGGAAGCTGGGGTGGACGTATAGTTATTAGGCGAAACCATTTACGTATATGGCGAAAGACGAAAAACCTATGCCCAAAAAAGACGAAAGACGAAACCCACTGGCGAAACGGGAAACCCCTGGCGAATCTGTGAAACCCTGGCGAAACGGTAAACCCCTGGCGAAACGGTGAAACTCCGACAAAACAGAGAAACCCTGGCGAAATGGCGAAACCTCGATAAAACCCTGGGGAATGACAACACCATGGACGAAAAAGCGAACCCCCTAGTAGCAAGGTGCAAAACTTCTGAACAAAGACGATGCTTCTGAAACTTTAAAACTAACGCTATAACGGTAGAAATATGGGGTATATTGAAGGATAACTTTTCACTTACTGATAAGTAAAACCGGCCTTAGGGCTTCTAACTTATAACTTACCGGATTCAGTCCTAAAAGATCTAACGCTAATCAGCAATTATAAATATGTCCGATTAGATTTTAGAAATCCTGAAATTTAAAAATCGATCTATATCAGTCACGTGCCTGGTTTGTCGATCATCATGCATGTTTGTGTAACATCTACGCTACTAATAAAATTCTAAAACGATGATTACTTTAGTAAAATTTTTTTATTTTAAATTCATAATGTTATAGAATTAAAATAAAAAAAAGTGGTGTAGTATGTTTCGAGAAATCATCATAATATCTTAAAAAAAAATGAAAAAAAAACCAAAATTGGTGAAATTTTCTTCCTTTGAACTTTAAATGACAATTTCTCGATACTAAACTATTCAAATTTGATGATTTTTTTTATTTAATTCTGTGGAATCATAGAATTAAAATAAAAAAAGTTGATCGAATTTGATTAGCCGGTTGTCATTAAAAGCTAAAAAAAAGTTTGACCGCATTTTTTTTTTTATAGACATTAAACTTTGAATGAAAATTACTTGGCACTTATCTAGTCAAATTTGATTAATTTTTTTTTGGTTTAACTTTATATGCTCATAGAATTAAAATAAAAAAAAGTTGATCGAATTTGACTAGATAAGTGCCAAGTAATTTTTGTTTAAATTTAGGCTAAAAACTGCGGTTAATTTTTTTTTAGCTTTTAAGAATAGAGTATACATAAATCAATTTTCATATGATCTATATACATGGTATATTGAATTTTTACATAGTAAACAAAAAAGTGCTTCTAATAAAACTTTTTAATACCTTAACCAATTTGTATCAAATTTATACAATATGTAGTTTAAAATAGTTTGTTTATAATAATAAAGTTATACAATATATATTGTTTTTAAAAAAATTAACTTTATATATAATTAAAAATTTTTCTGGATACTATATGTTTTTCTCTAGTTATACAAAGAAATGCTAATTATGATTGGTCAAATCATGTGTTGTTTACATGTAAATTATATGATACTATATAATTTTAGTTATACAAAGTTAATCTACAATCTATTTTATATAAATTCAGAAATAGTTACATTCTACCCTTAATGAATATTTCTTGATAATTAGCTAATAAAATTCAATTATAATCTCGTAAAATTAAAATAAAAAAAATTCATCAAATTTGAATGGCTTAGCATTGAGAAATCATTAATTTTACCGATTTGTTTTTTTTAAAGATTTTTGGTTTTTTTTTAAAATTTTGCAATGATTTCTTAAAATTTACTATACCAAATTTAAGAAACTTTTTTTATTTTAATTCTATAATATTATAAAATTAAAATAAAAATTAATAGAATCTTTAACAAATATTACACAAATGTGTATGATGATCAATAAACCAGGCACAGATTCAAATTTCACTTTTAAAGATCTTTATATAAATTCTATAATAGTAGATTATTTTAATTTATTTGCAAAATTTTCAATAATAACTCAATATCTATCTAACCAGATTTGAAGAATTTTTTTATTTTAATTATAGAAAGTATCAGAATCCAAATAAAAAAAAAGTTTATCAAATTTGATAAAGTATATATCAAGTTATTTTCGATCAAAGTTTTAAAAAATTTTAAATATATACCAAATAGAAGCTATGTTAAAAATTAGTTTTAACTTTTGATTAAAGATATCTTGATACCTACCTATCCAAATTCAATAAACTTTTTTTGTTTGAATTCTGCTATATTCTACAAATAAAATAAAAATAATTTATTAAATTTAGTTAAATAGGTGTTAAGATATTTTTAATCATAGATTTGTAAAATTTTAAATATATACCAAATAGAAGCTATACCAAAAATTGGTTTTAAACTTTGATTAAAGATATCTCAACACCTACTTAACTAAATTTAACAAAAAAAAAAGTTCATCAAATTTGATTAGATAGGTGTTAAGATATCTTTAATCAAAAGCTAAAAACAATTTTTGACATAGTTTCTATTTAATATATATTTGAAATTTTACAAATCTTTAATCAAAAATATTTTGACTAGAGCTACAAATATTTAGAAGATTCAAGATAGTATGTCACTTTTTATATCATATAAAACTAGCATTTAACCTGTGCTGTTGTGCACGGTTATAAAATTTATTTATTATAATAGTTATAAATTTGATAAATTAATATAATACAAATTTTAATAAATAAAACTCTATATAAAAGTAATATAGTAAAATTAAGTATATAATTAAGTTGAGCTAGCAATAGTGCAAAAAAAATAATGTTTAAAAACATACTGTATAGGTTTTAGTTTAAAGATTCTGTAATATAGTATAAAAAAATATATTTTAATTTGCATATATAAATTTTAAAAATCAGATTAGTTAGCAAATTTAGTTGTAAATTTTTCACTTTGCAAAAAACCAAAATAAAAAATTGTATTGTTTTTATATTAGAATTAATAGAAAAGTAAGAGAAATTAAGGTTTCTAATGCTTTAGTCTTAACAGCCAATTAAAAGAATTAAAAGTGAATATATTTGCTATATCTATTTAATAAAGCTAATTTTCCAGCAGCACTTTAGAATAAACTATATTTATAGTAGTATTATTATCAGAATCAGTTAGAAAAAGAGCTTTAATTGAATAAGATAAAGTACAATAAAAAAGAGCTACGTAAAGTTGACTATGTAAAAAAACATCAATTCAAAAATCTAGCCCAATGTACACTAAGGATTGGCCCTGAGATTTATTTATTGTAATAGCAAAAACAAGACGAATTGGAAACTGCCTTCATGCAAAAATAAACAGTAGACTTGTTAAAGAAGGTTTCAAAGTAATTCTAAGAATAAAAACTAAGTTTCTAGCATGATTTCTACTAAGAATACATGCTTTAATAACATAATCTGTAAGCCAAACTACAATTAAGTGAGAGTCATTACAAAGACCAAGTGAAAAAGCAAGGTTTCGAAGAAAAATAATAGAAATTCAATTTTGAGGGTAAGTTTAGCAGGTGGTATTCCAGATGAATTAAGTGTATTCAAATATTCAATTGGATATATAGGGGTGAGTCAATAGAAAAGGAACAAATTTTTTCTAAGTAAAAGTTTTCATGACTTTAGACTTAAATATCTTGGCAATTATCTTATTAAATTTAATAAAATTTTTTTATTTTAATTCTATAATTTCAAAATTAAAATAAAAAAATTTTTAACAAATTTGATTAATTAGTTGTTGAGATATTTTAATTTAAAAATTAAAAAAATTTCACTAAAAACAATTTGTCCCTTTTCTATTGACTCCCTTCCATATATTGCTATTGTTAGCATCTTCTTCTGTTATAGCTTTGTTAGCACTTAAATATATATACATATCTCCCGAAAGAATATTAAAAACTTCATAGTTAATGTCATGTATATCATTATTGCAAGCTGATAAAATCATGCGATCTCTTAAATATTCGTTATTTGGTGCACCTAATTGTATATTAGAATAAATTGTGCTAATAAGAAATGATATATCAGGACCAACTTTCATAAGTTCTAGAAGTGTAATTCTACTATAAAGTTTCAAGTTTAAACCATTTTTAACCTATATATAACAAATAAAATTAGTAGAAATTAAAAATCATAGTCTTACATTTAATAGCCAACCAGCAAAACATTTATTTTCTTCTGATTCTATCTCCAAATACATATTTTTTTGTAGTATAAGTATAGTTACATATTGTCAAAGAAGTGAATGTTGAAGAAAAGCAGCAACTATTTGTTCTTTTAAGCTTTTTACAACAACTGGAAAGATTTGGCAAAAATCACTACCAAATACAATAGTAATTTCATCAAAGGGATGATTATTATCACATAAAGAGTGATCAACTGTATCAAAAAAATAATGATGTTACATAGATGCTTTATCCCAAATAATAAGTGCAGTTTGGCAAAAAAAATCTGCAAGTTCAGAGTTCTTATCAAATAAACAGTTAGAAAGTTCATTAATATCAATTGGAATTTTAAAGAGTGAGTGTGCTATTCGTCTACTAATAAATAAAAGAGCTGCAATATCAGAAGAGGCTATACAAAGTGCAATTTTGTCTTTGCTACAAATCGTCATTGCAAGTATATTATATACAAAAGTTTTGCCAGTTCTAGCAAGTTTATTCAAAAAAAATAAATTTTCATGATCATTTGTTACTGAATTAAGAATATTTTGATATGCAGCATATTGTTCATTGTTTAATAGTAGTATGTGATTGTTAACTAAATTTCGAAGCTCATTACAGTCCCACATTAACTGTTCTGAAATAAGTCGATTTCCATTGCTAAGATCCTAGTTGTGTTCCCAAATTGGCATAGAAGGATATTCAAAAAGTGATTTATTTGAAGCAGAGAGAATTTTATTGATAAGAAAGAGCCTATAATCATAGATTTAATTTTTAGTAAATGTTTCGATAAAGTATTTTGAATATAAGTGATAACCTAAATTATTACAAATATTGTCATGATATTTTAATTATAATCTTTCTAGATACATAGAAGTATATCGAGTAAAAATAATTGCAAAAAAGTGTTCTTAGTTGTAAGCCACTTCATATAATAGAAGCTTTATTCAAACATTGATCTTATTCTCTATCATTTTCTAATAAGCCAAGAGCTATACATGTGGCTTTTTTTTTTTTTTTTTTTTTAAATTTGGCAGTCTTGCCAATACCGTTTATTAGTACGCTAAGGTATTTTGGTTACAAATATCATATGTACAATTACAACACTCTAATGTATTATGAGATATTGGCTCACCTGGTTACTAACTTAGTACCTATATGCGACCTGCTATATGAGATTTTATCTCCTCAATAACTGTCCTGCAACCAGACCAATTACTAAATCGCCAGATGGTTCTCAAGCCTATTTTTATCATATATATTCTGCTTATATACTACTGTACAACGTCCACCAACCAACTTCCATCTCTCATCACTTATTACATTACTTCTAATTCAGTACTTGTATTACTTCAAAATTGGTGTCCTTCGAGTAGGTGCTCTTCATACTTTCAGTTTGGTGTCTCTAGAGGAGTTACTTTATGGGCCTAGTCGTATCTCAAACAGTTAAGTTGCCAAACTAGGATGATATTTTATGTCGATCCAGGTATTCGCGTCATATACTACCAAATTAAGCTACCGATCCTTTTATAGTACTCCCTATTGGTATAGTATTACAGAAGTCTAGATCCTTAGAACAGGAGTTATGTATCTCATTTAATTACTGTCACAAGCCAGTGACCTGGGACCCATACTTCTGCCATATTTCGTCATAGACTTCTATATAGATTGTGTGACTATTACTCCCTAGCCTGTCTTTATTTTCATACCACCGGATCGCTTGCTTCTATGTTTTTTGGGGTTTTTTTAGCCGGTTTTCCTTGTTTCTTTGTGTCAAAGGTGTTCTATATTTGGTAAAGCCATCCTATTACCACAGCCCCTTACTATGTTCACCACTTCTCTCACCACTTCTGGATATACCACATTCAGCCATCCTTCCAATTAAGATCCCAATGCCACCTTAGGGTTGTTGGTGCTACCTTGTCAATCATAAATTCACATACACAGCCTTCTGCAGTAATATCTTCTGTGACCTATGTCATACACAGTGCCCAGTCTTTTCTATAGCTTGGGCTCCTTTCAAGAATTCTTTACCAGCCAAATATATATATCACATGGTTTTACCACTACAGGGTTTCACATTCAAAAGCTCCTGAAGGTTACAGAGATAATTAATTAAATTAATTACCACCAGCTGTAATCAAACCGTTGACCTTGTCTGTAGAGGGTTAGGTGCCTAGACCACTAGGCTATGAGACTCTAATCCCTATAATGTGGCTTTAAAAGTAGGATATAAAATATTGTTAACTGTTTTTAAGTAATCAAATAATTGTAGACCACGAATATTAATTAGTAAGAGCTGGAAATAATATCATTCTCCAGCAGAAAGATCTGCAAAATATAAATGTCCAATTGCAAACCCTTGTTTTCTAATTGTCCACTTTTAGTTTTTTTATTCCACACAAAATATTGTAGAAACTCTAAATATGTAAATTGGTGAGCATACTTCAATTTGGCACATGTTTTAAAAAATTCAGTAAGAGATGTTTTTTTTATGATCTTCTTAAAAAAAAAAATTCAAAGTATTATTATTTGGATTAAAGACTACTTGGTGCATTCTTGGAAGGTGCAATGCTAATCTTATAATATTTGGTACTTCTTCATATAAATGCATTCCAAATAGTCTTCAAGCTGCTTCTGGTGCACCAATATATCTAGTATCAATATATTGCTTAATTTTATCAGGTTCATGTCCAGCATCAATATATTGCTTAATTTTATCAGGTTCATGTCCAAATTGCATTGTAGTTCTATCATGACCCTTATAAATATACTTGTGAATATATTTGACAGCCTATATATATAAATAATATCAAGTTAAATATGTAAATAAAAATATAATATTTAAATAGATTAGTATAATTAGTTGGTATATATACCTTAACAGAAGCACAAACTTCAATATTTATATGACAATTATATTTTTTACTAAGAGTAGGGTTATATGGTACTACATCTTTATTATTAACAGTTTTGTCATCAATATTAAAGCAATTATTATCTCTTTTGACATAATGAGGATATCCATTAGCATCCATTATTGTTGTACTATAAAAGTCTTTTAGATATTTTTTTTAGCATATACCATTTTCTATACATAATGCATTGGAATTATGGGCTCTACAAGAACTATAAACCATACAGTACATAATTGTATTAAAAAGAATAGAATCAGAGTCTGGATTAGAAAACTCTGCACTTACAATGCAGTCAATATTGCTAAGCTTTTTTATTTTATTATCTTTATGAAGAAAGATCAAAAAGTGTATATGAGGTAGACCATGCTTCTAAAATTTGATTGTATAAATATAAGCTACTACTTTTTCAAAAATATTGTTGGTTTTAATATTATTAAGAAGAGCAAGATGCTTAAGTTCAAATATATGTGCTACTAAGTCAGGCCTATCTACAGAACTTTAACCAGGTAGTAATTCATTAATAATTTCTGGCCAATTAGGATTTGCTGTCATGGTTTTAAAAATATCAGGATGGTGATAAAATTAAGTTATAGCTAATAAATCTTGAAAAATCTCAAACATATATTATGCACTTCCAATATGTGATGAAGAAAGAATTATACAATGTCCAAGATTATTTAGATTTAATTCATTACTTGCAACATTTCCAACTATATTAGCTAGACCCTGATATGCATCTGCTCATAATAAACCTTGGTTTAATCATAAAAATTTTAGACAATTTTGTTCTGTTGCTGCCTAAACATCAACTATAAATTCCTGTAACAATTTTCCATTATGAAGAATAGGTGAGAACTCATTATGGTAAGAAAAAAGCTAAAAAGAGTAAAAATCTATTTGTGTAAAACATGATACTTTGCTTTGATCTTCAGCAGGAAGTCCATTATTATTAAGCAAAGTTTGATGCATTTCTGTATGCCAACCAAGATCTCCATAAGAGAAAAAAAGTACATAATGAAGAGGTAAATATGCAGGATAGCTTTTATAAATATATTGAAGTAGACCTCCACATAAATGAAGTACAATATCATATATTGCCTTGGGAATTGAACCATCACTAGATAAAATAACAGCTATTTCACCAGAAGTTGGAAGATTATAACAACATTTGTCTGTTGCATTGTCAAAATGAAGATAAACAGCTAAATTACTTTTAGTAAGATCTTCTCTGTGAGTTTGAGATAGAATTTCATAAATAGAGTAAAATATATAATTTTCTCTAAGAATTCCTTGTAGTACCCAAATTGTTTGTCGATTTAAATTATTATTTCGACCAATTCTTAATTGTTAAACAATATCTGGATCATAAATATAAAGTTGTGTATAAGCTACATTTATGAAAAATTCTGAAATAAGAAAACCTGAATGATAGCGCAATTCATTATGAATTCAAAAGACATATAGAAAATATCTATCAAGAACTAATTTGTCAATATCCACTCTAAGTAAAGTAAATGCATGTGTTGTATTATATTGGCAAATATTTGTACGAAATTCTTTACATTGCTCATTTTGGCTCTCAAAAAATTGTTGTAATAGAAGTGGTGGATTTGGAGATATGGAAGAATAACTTGTCCATAATTACAACATTTTTTAAATTTCGAATTAGTCTTTGAAGATTTTACTAACCAATAAAGTGTTTCACAGTATTCATATGTCCAAGATTATATCTTATATTATTTTGTTGAAGTTGTGCTAATAGTTTATCAAGAGATATAGTATATGCTCTTTTTGCTTGCTCATTTTCACTTTGAGCTTGTTTGTTAGCTTCTCTTTTACATTGTCTTCTTTTTTGTTGTGAAATTGATTTTTTATTTACTATATTTTTAGTTCTTTCATGGTCTCTTCTAACTTGTTGAGAAAAACTTTTTTGATTTACTGTATCAACTTCTTTTTCATATTTTCTTCTTTTTTGTTGAAAGATAGCTCTTTGGTTTACTAAATTCTCTGCTCTTTTACGATTTTTTTTATTTTGTTGTGCAATAGATCTTTTATTTAGCTTATTTTGAGATATTTATATTTCTAACTCATTAGTATTACTTTGTTGATGTGTGTTAGCTCTTCTATCAAATTCATTTTCTTGTATTTGTTTTTTTCGCTCATGATTTCTTTTTTCTTGTTGAGCAACTGCTCTTCTGCTAGGTTCATTTTTACGCAGTTCACGTTCATGTGTATATCTTAATTGTTGTGCTAAAGATCTTTGATTCATGCTATAATTAATTAAAAGTGTTATATTTATATTAAAGAAGATAGTGAATTAATATTTTTTAAACAAAAAAAAAATAAAAAATATATATATAAAAAAATAGTAACTGTGCTAAAATATGTCTTATTAAGCAAAGATTTTTATCAATTTTGACAGCTGCCCTATCTTGTAACATATATCAATGTAATCTAGATTTGTATAAAAAAAGTATTTTTTTATATTGCAAATACAAAATAAAATTTCCAATTATAGAATATAATTAGAAATCTACTTTAAATTCATGATGCAAAAGGATACTCTCCTTATACAAATCCAGATTACACATAATGTATCTCAAAAGATAGGTTAGCTATTAAAAATTGATAAAAATATCTGCCTTATAGTTAGGGCTGTGACAGATATTACGTAATATCAATTTACTATAAGGTACCCCCCCCTCCTCCCCACATAAGATATATTATATTAATAATTATATGCGATATTATTAAAAACTAAAAATCAAATTTATTAATAATAAATAATTATAAAATACATATATACTATATATATTAAATATAAGTTCTCCAATAAGCCTAAAATAATAGCAAATCTAAGCATATACCTTGCACAAGATAATAAACTATTACATCTACCTAAATTCCCATATACTGACAAAGTTTGCTAGCATTAGTAATAATGCCGGCTAACTTTACTATTATTATATTCTTTAGAAAAATGAGTTTCATAATTTTGGGTTAGAACCGAATCTGCATACCTTGTGTGAGATAAACTATTCAACTCAAAAGTTTCAATAAAATTAATAAAAAAAACAAACTATTCTAAATTCGGCAATCTTAATTCTTTTTTTAGTTAAATTGTTGTATTGTTATAAATAAGATCGAAGAAGCTTATAAGTATTAATTTGATATAAAAAATACTTGCCTATATATATCCTTTTTCTACCAAATTCGTACCTCAATCAACTTTATATAATTTGATCTATCATTGATATTATAATCTTGATCACTACATTATAAAATATTGATGATAGATCAAAATTAAATTAGTAGAAAAAGGCATATAAAAAAAGTTAACAATAGCCTTAAGGCATGTTATATTTTAGCATCTTGTGTAATTCTTTAAACAAGTTCTCTAGATATAACAACAGATTTCTTTGGAATTTTCTGTTTTTTAAGGAATGATTTTTTCTTTGAAAACTTTTAGAATCCCGTATAAGATTAATAAAAAAAAAAAACTCACCGATGATATATCAACCAAGTAGGCAATAATATCTTCGGTTATAAATAACTAGATATTTAAAAATTATACTGAAAAGTCTATCCAATGAAAAAAATGAGAACAATACTTATAAAAACGCATTCACTAATGAAAATGATAATGTGATAGGAATCATAATTAATCAAGCAACTCTCCCCGACGATCACTTGGACCACCCTCCTCACAGAAAGGAAAAGTAGAAAAAGTTTACTGGAGAGTCGTGT